TATATTTTTTTTTTTTTTTTATTAAAAAGACAATAATGTATCAGAATCCATTCATTGTAAAATTGGTACTAATTTAAAAGAAAAATTTTTTTTTAAATAGTGCAGTTAAAATGTTAATTAACCTTTAAGTTTAATGAACACACTAAATGTAATTTACTGTAAAATAGTGTTTTTCAGAAATAAAAAGTATTAATTACATACTTACGAACTCCTAACAAAATCTATTGCATTCAACACAACATTACATGTTCTTTTACTTGAAAACATTGTTGAAGTTAATTAAAAAAGCATGGCTAAGTGTATAGAGTAAAAAAAACAGTAAAAGTATATTCCCACAAATGTTATTATCTTTTATTTAAATAGTTATGTTTATTATTTTTGTTAACAGTTATGCACAATATAGTTGATTGGTTAATGTTTATTGCATTTTAAGTGTCCTGTGTTGCATTGATAGTGTTTGTGTGGGTAACACTGCAAAAGTCAAATTTTGATGAATTTGAGCTCATTATGTGGCTTCTGGTTTCCCACCTTTATTATGGTGTTTATCAATATATTTTGAGATACAAAGCAGATTTTAGTAGTTCAATTAGGTTATAATATACCTTAAATACCTCCCAAAATACCTTATATGTTACAGTATTTTTAGTGAAGTTGCACTGAAATTAATTATTCAAATGAGCAGATTTCCAGTTATATACTAATCATACCACCCAGTTACAGGCTAAACGTGTCATGCCAGTCTAAACCAGTTCATTCAGTCAAAATTGATGGGATTACCTTTCATTCATTTGCTGTGAGTCTGTGAGGACAATGTTTTACTAATTACATCAGGTTCTGGTCTGAAATGCTTGTAATTGGAAAACCTTATTTTATTTTTTATTTTTTGGAAAGAAAACAGAGGGTGAGATGTGCGGGATGTGGCTGGAAAAGAGTGAACCTTTTATTTGCACAAAAGTTCAGTCTGTGGAGAAATTACTGAGCCACACGATTCAAACGTATGTGTAAGACCATAAATGTACTTTAAATAGATTCTGGTCACTCTTTCTGAAGTGGTCATTATTTAAAGCTTTGAGTCCGAGTCTTGTCAAATTTACACTTTGTTCTCGGATTCTTAGTTAATTAGGTAGCCTGTAGACTATTTAGAGCCCAAAATGTTCTTCGTGGATGTTCCTCAGATCAGACATATGAAGACTAAAGAAATCTGCTGAATTCCATTAAAAATTACTTTTAAAGTTCCCCTGTATTCAGATGCTATTAAATAACATTCTTGTTACAAGAACAAGAATGTTAAACTGTTATTATGACTGATGAATGGACACTCTAGTTTTGGTAGCTCCTCTCAAGCATGGCTTTCTTGGCTGAAATGTGTTTATTCCAAATTTGTATCAGGACATTAGTTGCACTGCTCTAAAATGGGTCAATATATTTCCGGATCGTGTTCACTTAATTGTTAGTCAATAGACTAACACTGGGGTTCACTTCAGCAGAACAGACAGCTTGATTTACAAGAGTAATCCACATTTGCGTGTAGTTTAACTTTAATTGGGCTGTATATTCTGTGATTGCTTTGTTGATTGTGGTCTTTATCTGTAGAATAATGTATGGTTGGCCTGCTAATCTGTTTAGACATTATTTGGGACATTATTGTCAAGTTCATTTCCGTGCTTGCCTGTAAAAGCTTTGATTCATGAACTTTGAGTTGTTTGTTGTTCTGTTTTAAACAAGTCATGAGATGCTCGGAAATTCTTTTATTATAGTAAAGGCAATCCTTTAAATGTTTCCTGCGGTATATTGAAAAAAGATGGAAATGTTTGTGAGGAAAGTGTCTGGCAGAGTGCAGTTAAATCATGAGGGTATTTGAGGGGTCCGTACAAACTACACTATAAATATATCTTCTAAAACACTAAGCAATCTTAAATAGTTTTGTGCAGTCCACTAACCAAGAAAATGAAATGCATGAAGTTAGTTCACCCAAAAATGAGAAGTCTGACATTTACTCACCCTCAAGTTGTTCTTTCTTCTGCAAAACACAAAAGGTGAAATTTTGAAGAAAGTTCTGTTCATGCAGTGAAAGTCGATGGGGTCCAAAGCAGCACTGGACCCCACTGATTTTTAAAAAATATCGTGTAAGTTATACAGGTTTGCAACGACATGAGGTGAGTAAACAATGACAGAATTGTAATTTTTGGGTCCCCATTTCTTGAATACCTGGTCTACATCAGCTGTTTACATCAATGTACCTGGTCTCCTCCAAAGGGCTTTGTCTTCAGTCGTGGCTTTGGGCGCAAACATCATCTGCAACAAAATCCCTGGCCTGGCTCCCAGACAGCGCGCCATCTGCCAGAGCCGCCCAGATGCCATCATCATCATTGGGGAAGGCGCTCAGCTGGGCATCAACGAATGCCAGTATCAGTTTCGCTACGGACGGTGGAACTGCTCTGCCCTTGGCGAGAGGACTGTCTTTGGGCAAGAGCTGAGAGTAGGTCAGTAGGTGCAGCCCTGTGATCTGTTCTTGTGTGTGTGTGTGTGCGCGTGTGTTGCTTTGGCTGCGATTTGTTTCCGTGAGAGTGTGGCCCTGCGACACAAGTGAGACGAAAAGAGGTTAAAGTGGACGCGATCTGTCCTCAATTACATTAAAATCATTCGCACAGTTACACACACACAAATGGCACCAGTTACTTTGTGAGAACCTCAACCGAAGAACACACAGTAATATGTGGTTAAAGTGGACGCGATCTGTCCTCAATTACATTAAAATCATTCGCACAGTTACACACACACACAAATGGCACCAGTTACTTTGTGAGAACCTCAACCGAAGAACACACAGTAATATGTTTTTTTTAATATAGCACTCACATATAAATTGCCTTTCAGTCAGAAATGTTTTGTTACGGTCAGGGTGCGGTGCGAGGCTGAGTTTAATTCAACGGTCCTGGTAACAATCACTCTTTGGGGGGGTTGGTTGGCTCTACACAACATAATCTTATTTCTTTTGTGCAAGGAAATGTATGTTTCTCGGCTATAGTGAGCTCTACACTGTGCGTATGTGGGTTCTAATATGTAAGCTTTTATGTTCTGTTGTGCAAATTGCTTGTGTGAGAAAGAAAATTGTATTGTGTAACTGTAGCAGAAATGTTGAGTTTCATATGCAGTATCTGGAATGGATGGAATCTACAGACTATTTACTCAATTTCTTCACCAATTTTGACTCTAAAATTGATTTAAACATTATAAAACAGTTGAGTGTGCTTTTATAGGTAGCTGAAAGCGTAATCAAATTAGCTGAAATATTGAGGAAGCAGAACACACTGTACCTACAGTAGAGAAAATCTTCCAAAATGCTTTGCTCTTCATTGACTTTCATATTTCTCAAAATCGAATGTTCGAATGGACATTTTAGGATAAACTGTAGGTTATTTAATAGCCATTTAATAGCCATTGTGAACTTTACTGAAAGGCCATTGGGTTTTCCCCACAAAATCCATTAGAATAACAGTAGTTAAAATTCACCAGTAGATCCAGACACGCATTACGTGTCAAATTATTCAAAGACTTTATATCATTCAGATCTCTTGGCTGGATAAGGGAAATATCCTGTGCTCAGTCAACCCTGATGATCAGTTATTGGATGTCGGCTTTAGCTATGAAAAAAAAAACAACACTAATGGTCTCTTTCCATTTTGTAGGATGGAGAGGGTAATCACTGTTGCATTTACAAGATTCACTGCCAGCATATCTTAATGAGGGATATTATCCTAAAAAAGAGAACAGCAATTTCATATTTATTTCCTGCTTATACTGTAAGCGCAAATCGGTGTATAATAAAATATTGCGGTATTATTGGCAGACTTGATGATTAGTCTTCATCTAAAGTTTGGTGACAAGGTCTGACTATAATCGCAAAAGTGATGACCATAGTTCAACTCTACACAACATGGCACTAATGTACAATGGAATAACCAACATTTTGGGGAATAGAATTGAATGAAATTGAATAGAGAGAAAGTAACCAAATGACAAATGACCGCAACACTTCATTCAGTCGTTAATTAATGCATTAGTATAGAGATAATAGTATAGAGATCTTTGTGGTGGTCAGTCCATTCTTACTAACCTCTTTTCATGAAGGCCGACCAGCAGGGGTCAGTTTAGTCTTCTTACATCAATCTTGAGATCAAGAGTGCTCAGTCGTGCTCCTGGAGATTTATCTCCCTGCAGAGTTTAGTTCCATCACTAATCAAACAAACATGGACCAGTTAATCATATTTAGGGTTAAGAATTACAGTCAGGTGTGTTTTTGCTGCTTCGCATTGGAAGTTAGACCCCGCTAGTGAATGCAGTAGCTACACCGTTGAGTGGGAAATCTAACAAAGATGCACTCAGACAAGAGGAAACTCACTGGCATGAACTTTGGGATGTCAGTGGTGTCAAATCATCTCAGAGGTTCTACTCTTTTCTTCCTAGGTAGCAAGGAGGCTGCGTTTACCTACGCCGTCACGGCAGCAGGTGTTGCCCATGCTGTGACAGCAGCCTGTAGTCAGGGCAACCTGAGCCACTGCGGCTGTGACAGAGAAAAGCAGGGCTATCACGACCAGGAGGAGGGCTGGAAATGGGGCGGCTGCTCGGCAGATGTTAAATACGGCGTGGAGTTCTCCAGACGCTTTGTGGATGCCCGAGAGATTAAAAAAAATGCAAGGAGACTAATGAACTTGCACAATAATGAAGCAGGAAGAAAGGTATGGAAGACAAGTTTTATAGAGCTGTATACATGTACACATATTTATACAAAATTTTAAGAATTCCTATGTTTTCATGTGATTTAGTTAATAGAAACCAGGAACTTTGATACATTGCTTTTAAACAGAGAGATTAAAGACTTAAGGGGGTAAAACATAGGAACATAACTACTGAATTTCAAATCCCTCTCATTGAAGGGGAATATTAACATTTAACTAAACGGGTAAATGTCAACTATCACGTACCTCTGTCTGTTGAACATATCAGTAACACATCAAACAGCCAAATAGTTCTGCTTTTAACTCAAATGTAACCATATGCATAAATGGGGACTTGAGAATTATGGACATTTCTCCCATTCTTTGATGTGGCCCTTCGGAAGGTAGAGAAAATTACAGGGTATGGTCTGGCTAAAACATATTTTTTCCCCTCAGTTTTGACAGATATCTGGCATTGCACATTGAAACATTGCTCAGGACGTATTGAATAATGGGTTTTGGTTCAAATTGCTGAAAACAGTCAAAATAAAATGTCAAGAATTTCCCTTACCCAACAGCTGCATGAATTCACTCGCACCTCAGCTTCAGAGGCCTCTGATGAAGTCATGCCCATTGTAAAATACTATGTGAGTCTTGCTAGGAAATAAAAACCAGATAAACCACATGTGTGTGTGTGTGTGTATATGTGTATGTACTTACATATAAATGTATATAGCTTGATGTTTTAGTGAAAGTCTGAGCATTGTAAATGAATATAAAATGTAGTATAAAAACATAAAACTTGCATATAAATTGAAGTAATATAGCAATATAGACAGCTTAAAAATAATATTTTACATAATATTTATAATTATACATATAATTACATTTTACAATTATATTTTACATTACACACATTACCGCACAAAACTACAAATAAAATTAATAAAACAATGTATGTATTTTTATTTTATTTTATTTACAAGTCAATATGTGACCCTGGACCACAAAACCAGTCATAAGGATACATTTTTCGAAATTGAGATTTATACAGCATCTGAAAGCTGAATAAATAAGCTTTCATTCCATTGATGTATGGTTTGCTAGGATAGGGCAATATTTGGTCGAGATACAACTATTTGAAAATCAGGAATCTGAGGGTGCAAAAAATCGAAATATTGAGAAAATCACCTTTAAAGTTGTCCAAATGAAGTTCTTAGCAATGCATATTACTAATCAAAAATTAAGTTTAAATATATTTACAGTAGGACATTTACAAAATATCTTCATGGAACATGATGATCCTAATGATTTTTGGCATAAAAGAAAAATCTATAATTTTGACCCATACAATGTATTTTTGGCTATTGCTACAAATATACCCCACCGACTTAAGACTGGTTTTGTGGTCAAGGGTCACATATATACATTGCCGTTCAGTTACAAAACAAAGCACCAACATTTGGTAACACTGGGTTTTTCCCTACTGTTGCAGGTTCTAGAGGAAAGGATGAAGCTGGAATGTAAATGTCATGGTGTCTCCGGCTCATGTACCACAAAAACCTGTTGGACAACTCTGCCGAAATTCCGAGAGATCGGCTATTTGCTTAAGGAGCGTTATGCCACTGCGGTTGAGGTGGAGGCCATGAGAGCCACGCGTTTTCGCCAACCCTCTTTCCTGCGTCTCAAGCAGTCCCGTGGGTACATAAAGCCCACGGACACAGACTTGGTTTACTTGGAGCACTCGCCCAACTATTGTGAGGAGGATGCTGTGACGGGGAGCACGGGAACGAGAGGACGGCTGTGTAACCACACGTCCCCTCACACAGACGGGTGCAACCTGATGTGCTGCGGCCGGGGCCACAACACCCACCAGTACACGCGCGTGTGGCAGTGCAACTGCAAGTTCCAGTGGTGCTGCTTCGTTAAGTGTAACACCTGCAGTGAAAAGACAGAGGTGTTTACCTGTAAATGAGCGAAAGGAAGAGTTAAAAGGACAAGAAAGAAAGGCAAGAAGCCAATGGAAAGAAACAGGAAGTGTTTGAAACAGAAATGGAAGTGTCGAATTGGAAGGCTTCAATTTGCACATCAGGCAGTCTTTATGCAAGAAAGGCTGTTGCCAAAGGAGAACCGGGATGGATAATGAAGATGCCTTGAGAGGAAAATGCACTGACTTCAGACTGACTTTTTGGGGATTTCATGCAAACATATGGACGCTATATATATGCAGCGCTAGGCTTTTGTAGATATCAGATTCTCACAGACTTGAGGAAGGTCAGTTAGGGCCTGTCCTGAGGACCTGATATTGACTCAAAACTCCTATTGGACAGTCTAAACTGCCCACAAAGGTGATCTTTTTCAAATGAAGACAAGAGGAACTTGTAAGATATCCCACCAGCTGAGCCCCTATGGAAGTTCGAGAGGAAAGAGGTGCTGCAACTTTGCAACTCTGGAAATGCTGGAAAGCTTCAGTCACACTGTATCTGTTTGAACACTGAAAAAAGAACCCTTTTCCCTTCTCTTTGGAGAAAAAAAAAGACTGAAAATGTCCATACTGTAGATGTCTCGTAATGGTACACAGGAGTAAAAACTTCTAATATCATTGCTACTGATCTGTTGCTTCCAAAACACAACCTGAAACAGTATAGGACACTGCGTATGTAAAAAGAGCTTCTTTTGCAGTTTACCGATGAAGAAAAGTGGCCAACTCATTTCTACACTTAAGAAATGTTGTGGATACGTTGCCAATTACTGCACTGGTGGTTATGGCGCGTACTGTGGGCTGTATGGAAACAAAAACCGATTGTGTTTTTTTATGAGAAGAGAAGCTTCCTTAGTCATATCAAGACTTGGCCATGTATGCTGCAATGCTCTAAACGTGTGTGTGGGAAAGAAAGAGAGAGCTTTTAGATACTTCATAGAGTGACCAAACCATTCTCACGAATGCCAGAGATATGGGATTCCACATCACTGCTCCGGCGTGCACAAGGTCTAGTTATATTCCGCCTGAGCCAATGGACCATACAGATATGGGTCTAAAAAAAAAATGGTTAAATGGTCACTGGAAATATTTTGAGTAGCATTTGTTTTTCATCTAAATTGTTTATATGAGTTATATAGCTGGCAAATTTGGTAAAATATATTTTTTTATGTAGAGAATATGGCACTTTATGTCAGGTATATTCAGAGTAATTATTGATACTATTTTCTCTGTAATGATTTTATTGTTTAATTACAGATCTCCAATTTTTGTCCCAGTTTAATTATGTAAGCTTTTTTTAATGACTTTACCTGTGTTATCCATTTCTTTTTCAAGTTTGATATGAAACCATCTCATCTTTTTGTTGTCTGGATGTATTTATACTTTTTTTTTGGCAAAGATTTACAGTAAAATCGCAAGATAAATAAATGAATCAAACAGTTTGGATCAAATACATCAAGCTGTGGTCATTTAAATGAATCTTGCACGTCAACATCTCGCTCGACTCAGAAAGTTTCTTCCCAGAAGCACCAAGCGGCTTATAGATGTGGGTGTAGATACTGCGAAACGCTGATCTCGGAGTGACACAGAGCTGTTCCCACCTGGGTTTGAATAGGCATCCGACCTGGCTCATTCATTCACCCGCCGTATGCTCTCTGCCCCTCTGGTCTTTTTCCTGTGGGTGAAAAGCATTGCAGGCAGCCACCGAAGCAGAAGTAAATTGGACCTGTTTTGTTAGCCGTCTGAACTGCTGGGTACCGGAACCGCGTAAGCTCCCAACACTATACCCCGGATTGAGAGAAAAGTCAACCCCGATTGTTTCGCACAAACATTTTGTCATTAAAAAATATGAGGCAGAAAAAACAGGGTGTGGTGGGGAGAGCAGAGGCCTCCGTAGAGGGGTATTAATGCTATGGGGGTGTATGTGTGTGGACCACTCAGCTCATTCCAGAACGGGACGGGGCTAGATGTGATTCTGCAAGCTAATACTTCTGGTCTGATTCACATAAAACAAACTAAGTTGCAGAACTAGATGACCAGGAGTGACAAAACGTGGTGTGGGATAGCCTGATGACTGATTTCTGGTCAGTTTGAGAGAAGTTGCTCTTCTAATGTTCTATGTATATTAGGCTGGACAGTAAACGAGCAAAACTATCAATAAGAATCTAGGGACACTCTTCCTAAAATAGAAAAGTAGCTATTTTTTATGTGTAAAGACCAATTTATACTGTTTTTTTTTTAAGTAGGCAGAGTATACATTCTATTATAAAGAAAACATGTTGTTTACAAAATTAAATTATTTGATTTATAATCATGAAAATATTTACTTTATATTATTTGAATAGTATATGTTTGTCAACCCCGATTGTTTCGCACAAACATTTTGTCATTAAAAAATATGAGGCAGAAAAAACAGGGTGTGGTGGGGAGAGCAGAGGCCTCCGTAGAGGGGTATTAATGCTATGGGGGTGTATGTGTGTGGACCACTCAGCTCATTCCAGAACGGGACGGGGCTAGATGTGATTCTGCAAGCTAATACTTCTGGTCTGATTCACATAGAACAAACTAAGGGCAGAACTAGATGATCAGGAGTGACAAAACGTGGTGTGGGATAGTCTGATGACTGATTTCTGGTCAGTTTGAGAGAAGTTGCTCTTCTAATGTTCTATGTATATTAGGCTGGACAGTAAACGAGCAAAACTATCAATAAGAATCTAGGGACACTCTTCCTAAAATAGAAAAGCAGCTATTTTTTATGTGTAAAGACCAATTTATACTGTTTTTTTTAAGTAGGCAGAGTATACATTCTATTATAAAGAAAACATGTTGTTTACTAAATTAAATTATTTGATTATAATCATGAAAATATTTACTTTATATTATTTGAATAGTATATGTTTTCTACTCGATATCAGAATATATATATACACACACAAAAATACCATTCAAAAGTTTGGGGTGAGTAAAATGTCTTTACAATTAATCAATACTATTTTTAATACAACAAAAATGACAGTAAAGACTTTTACACACACACACACACACATATATATATTTATTTTAGTCCTGTCAAACAATTAATTGCATCCAAAATAAACATTTTTGTTTACATAATGTGTTTGTACCATGTATATTTATTATGTATATATAAATACACACAGATACATGTGAAATAAATGTTAAATATGAAAATTTAATACAACAAAAATGACAGTAAAGACTTTTACACACACACACACACACACACATATATATTTATTTTAGTCCTGTCAAACAATTAATTGCATCCAAAATAAACATTTTTGTATATATAAATACACACAGATACATGTGAAATAAATGTTAAATATGAAAAATTTTATATTTGTATATTAAATATATTTATATGCAATATAAATTATATAAATATATACATGTAAACATTTTCAATATATATACTGTAGGTGTGTATTTATATATACATAAATATACACAGTGCACACATATTACATAAACAAAAACGTTATTATTATTTTGGATGCGATTAATCGTTTGACAGCACTAATATATATATATACATATATATTAATGTAACAAATTATGTTCTTTCTTTTAAACTTTCTATTCATCAAAGAATCCTGAAAAAAAATATATCACAGTTTCCACAAAAATATTAAGCAGCACAGCCGTTCATAATAATAATAAGAAATGTTTCTTGAGCACCAAATCAGCATACTAGACTGATTTCTGAAGGATCACGTAACACTGAAGACTGGAGTAATGATGCTGAAAATTCAGCTTTGCCATTACAGGAATAAATTACATTTTAAAATATATTCAAATAGTTATTTTAAATTGCAATAATATTTCAAAATATCAATGTTTTTTTTATCAAATAAATGCAGCCTTAGTGACTTACTTCTTTCAAAAACATTAAAACTGAACCCAAACTTTTGAATAGTTGGTGCATACTTTTAAAAAGAATGTTCTATTTTCAAAATTGATCTAGCTGTTTTGAACACTTTTCCGTGTTCAAGTCAAAGCTTGTTGCCTGTAATGGGATCTTTGGTTGTGCTGACTGCAGATTCACACAAATGAGTGTGAAATTGCTCTATTGGTTTAAAAAAAATCAGATTTTATGGAGTGTACACACAGGTAATTGCGTTGTGTTATTTTATTGTAATAATTGCACTAAATTAAAGTTAAATAGACAGCCCTACCATACAGTAATCTCCATCTACCAAGCTACACGAGAAGCTTGTTCAAATAAAAGGGGAATTGTTGTAATTGCACGGCTTTGTAAACAAACCCGATTTTAAAGCACACAAATCTTAAGTCAGCTTTCAAAAAGAAGGATCCGAGTCTCACGGCTATTCACAGACTAACTTTATGTGTACAGATCAAGAGACGGCCTGGTCTCTACAAAATGCACTGAATTAGGGATTAACCTCTATTCCGTTGGTCACCAGAGTCTCTTTAGTGGCTGAAAAGCCAGGAAGACACGGTTCTCCTTGTTTCATAGGATTTGAATCCCACTTTGGGGGGGTTCAAAGACCACTAAATGCATCACAGACGTCAGCATGAGATCTCTCAGATAAGCTCCTCTGATTGATTTCCTCTTGTGTGGGGAACACAAAGCCAAAACCACCCCCTTATGCTCTCAACTACTGATTGGATATTTAATGACCCCAGTGTGTCGTGGGCGTTTTAAGCCATCTCCAGAGTGTAAAATAGCATGGTAAACGGGTGTGGGGATGGGTTTCAGGGACAGCAGCTTCCAAGCTCTACTTAATCAACTAGGGGTCCTTCTTTAGGGGCCTGAGCAGTAGACTGCCATCCCTTTCTTCCACTCTGAAGCCCATTTCTCTGAGCATTGAGTCGTCTGTCACACCTTGTCTCCGAAGACCTTGTATCAGTTTCTGATTCTCTAGGTTGTGTTCCAGGATGTTCCGGATGGCAAACACAGCCCACTGGCTTATGACTGGAAAGAATATTAAGGACAGTTATTGTTTTCAGTGGTTTTAATGGATTGCTATGTGGCTGTCAGGGTGTTTTTGTTGGTTTCATGCAGGCTTCAGCCAAAAAGCCCACCAAAAAGTCTCCATGATATTCTGGTCTCTAGATATGGCTCAGGAACTACCTTCAACATAACTTCGCCATTTTATCGTCCCCCAGGAAGCAAATTCGATCACTTCGAAAAAAAGTAATAGCACATCACTCCTGAATTAATGTCTAAGTTTATACCTAGGGCAGGGATGCACAATATATCAGTTCATCAGTATATCACATAATATTTTTTACAAATTTTGCCCATACCAGAAGTGAAGCTAGCAACACCAGGTCCAGCAACCATGCTAAACAGTAAGCAACAACGACAACTTCCTAAAGTGGTCAGGAAGCAGCGTCCGTGAGGACACAAGCTCAGCTTAGTGGCTCATCCCCTAGTGAAAGAGCAGCTGGCATTGTGCCCTGCTCTCTTTAATACAGACCGGCAGTGATCGCTAGAGAATGAAAGTTTTTTTTTTTTTACAACAGTGCCAGCATCAGTCAAGGAGCCTTTGGAAACACAGCTGTAATACATCAGATTGTCGTGTTATCAATGAACCGTTTCATATGGAACAGAATTGGCAGGATGCAGGTCAACACTATAAAAATACAAAATGTCACTTCATTTCATTCAAGTGGTGATTTTCCACCCAGGATTTCAATCAAGTTTTCCAGAAAGTGTTGCACATCTATAAAACTGACTTCTGTCAACACCACAAAATTACTCATATATGCAATACCTACATTTAGCTTCATAAACTATTACGACTAGATATTACCCACAAGGAGACTGATGAGTGAGGGTTACAAAATGATCATGAGTCAGCCCAACAGTTCCACCTCTCTACAGGGGACGTTGCTAGGTGGTGGGACATGAAACCATTGGGCAAGATGCTGGCTTTGCTCGAATAACATCTCAACTGCGTTTTCAACTCTGAACAAGCCACCAATCATTCAAACATGAAACACTGCGGTAAAACCTCCATTAGTAATGGAATTTAAGGGGCCATTACAATGCTATTCACACTACAGATAGCAATATCTTTGCATTTTTTGTGGTGGTTTTCACTAAACCAGAAAACCCTCATTTAACAGTGTGAAAAAATAAG